AAAAAAAAAAAAAAAATAGTAATGCTATTTCTAGATTGTGCATCTGTTTATTTATAGTGCTTGTGATGCTGATACATCGTCAGCTCTGTGCCTTTGGTATCTGTTGGCATCTCTTTAATTGTTAACAATTGTTATGCCACCGTGTTTACTGAGCACTGGCCGTGGGATGAAATGTGGTCACTCACGCAAGTTGTTGAGTGGTTCACTCTAGTCTTTTCATCATCCAGGTCCTGATTAAGAAGAGCATTTAAGCATATGCTTAAATTTAAGCATATGTTTAAATCTCTCAGCATATGCTCCAATGCTGTCCTGAGTCCACGCCTATGGGGTTAATTGTTCACATATCAAAGATAACAGAGCATCCCCATTGTAGGACTGGGGCCTAAATGCACAAGCTGCTGCCATCGCTGTTCTCAGTGCCCGCCATGCAGAAGTTAATTCAGAGATCTTCTGGTTTGAAGGGTCCTGGGCCAGTCTGAATGCCTGCAGGCCTGAGTCCCTCCCAAAGGGATTCAGCGCAGACCAGGAGGCCCAGGGAAAGCAGTGTCCAGTACAGCCCTAGAGGAAAAGCCACAACTGGAGAGTAGAGGGTGGGCAAAGGAGCAGCAGCAAGGACGGGCAACTACACACCACCTCTCGTTCCCCTGGGCAGCTCATCCCCAGGCTGTCACACCCTCCTCTTCTATGCCCCCAACTCTTGCCCCTCAATACCTTTCTACACCATGCCCCTTACTTCCCCTCTGCACCCTACGCTGCTCCTTACCCCAGTGCACCCCTCCCTCCAGATCCCCAGTACACCCCTCTACCTCCCTATATCCATCATTCAATACATGACTCTTCCTCCATCCCAAATTCCCTCTCCTCTCCAGACTCCAGTGCCCTTTACAGCCCCATTGGTCCATGACCTTCTGGGTCTGTTGCAGGCATCTACCTACCTTGTACTCTGTAGACCTCTCAGTTCCCATGTGGATGCTCTCGCCCAGTGCCTCCATGCTTCTCTCACTGCTCCCATGGCTTGTACCCATTGCTGCATGCCCTAGTGTTCCCACCGGCAATAACTTCTACCCGCTCCTCTCCATGGTCCTGCGCCCTTCTCTGCAGCCCCTAATGAGGATCCTTATAGCCCCAATGCTTCTTCCAGGGCCCTTTGCATCCATGCCCCCCTCCCCCCTGTACCCTCTATACCCTGAATTCCCTACCCCCTCTATACCCTATACACTCTATACCCTATATGCTGTATGTTATACCCTCTGTATACTATATCCCCTATACCCTGTATTTCCTATCCTCTGTATCCAGACCCTTTAAACCCTGCATCCCCTATGCGCTATACTCTGTGCCCCTTACCCTGTATTCTCCATACCCTACATCCCCTCTATGCCCTGCACGCTCTTCACCCTGCACCCTATATCCTCCATACCCCACATGATTAGTTTGATATAATAATTATTATAATCTATAATGAGGATCTATAATAAAATGCCAATTATCGTGATACTTGAACATTCACTCTACCCTTACACGCCTTCTCCCACTGCCCAGAGGT